TGTACATAGCGGTATCATAACAAATTTAGTTCGCGCCTTTAATGGTGCAAAATTTATAATTAAAAAGTGGTTATGAAAAGAATTTAATAAATTTTACTTTTTCAAAAAATAATATATGTATGTCTTTTGGTGTATATTCCCTTTCCTTCCTCTCCGTAGATACAATCAATTACTCAATGTGTTTGTTTCATTGAGAAATAATTATTCTCTACGGCCAATTTAAAAATTCGAGCGGAAAGGCATAATTTTTATTCGGTCGATGAAGAAATTTTATGACACGAGCACAGTAATTTTTTTTCCACAGTGATACAGTTTTCCTGTATCTCGCCTGGTTAAAATTAAGGTTAAGGACATGACTTTTTTTATCTCGCTTGGCAAAAATTAGGGTTAAGGGCATGACTTTTTCTCGTGCGTGTGCTTTGCACCCCGATTCCCGATGAACACAGTAATTTTTCCCCAACGTCTGCAGCAAAAATTCATTGAATTTTTTCTCCGCGCATATACGCCTCTTGAAGCCCATGAAACAAGCTTTAAAACAATGTGAAAGATATGTGATTCTCACTTTTTCATCCGGTTATATCATTTTGAATGAGAAAAGGTAGTTTTTATGTTTTACCTAAATTTTTAATTCGGTTCTATTTTTTTATATTTCTAGAGCAAATGAATATTTATGTACAATTTCAACGAACATGAAGTCTTCTTTAAAATCGTGCATGACTATTTAGTTGAATTCACTTGTTAGATTAGTTGCATCTGATTTTTTTCTGTTTTAATATCGTTATTGAAGTGTTTCCATTTTTCATCGCTACACGGAGAGAAAATTGTATGAAAAATTCGTACCAGAATCGCTTGAAAAATTGCCGGACTGCGCATGCATGGAGCATTGCGACCTAACCTTAAATATTACGGTCCAGTCCAGTAAAATTTCCCAGCGCCGTTACTGAAAAAGTAATGAGAAATGCAGTAAAATTTACTGGAGTTGCAGTAAAGTTTACTGGACGTGTAGTCAAATTTACTAAAAGTGCAGTAAAAAGGGAATAACTAGTACGAATATTTGAGATTTTTAGCAGTACATTTTAGAACATCGAATGTACATCGGAGAAAATTGCGGATCAGTCCAGTAAATTTTGTTGCATTGCGCAGTAAATATTCCTGAGAACTGCAGTGATTTTTCATGACTTTCACATGACCTTTCATCAGGGCAGTGCCATATCTCGCGTTTACTAATACGAGACAGGTAATTTTTCGTGCATATTTCTTTCCGTGTATATAAACCTATAAAATTCAGTTCTCTTGCTAATTATCGTTGTATTCGATGTGATTTATAGAGATTTTTTATATACTAATCTAAAGCATTAAACTCTGAGTATACAGATAGAAAAATTTACAAAAATTTAATAACAGTCAAAACAGTATTGAATAAAAACTTCGGAACGGTCGCGCACTTTTTCACGGAAGTATAGAAAGGACAAGTGCGCCCACAGGGGACGCTCAAGTAATGAGTATAAAGCCTGTAGAAATTTTTCCTGAAAAATTCGATACCAGCCGTGTCCCCGTCGCAATCTCTGGGTAAGGCTAACTGTTGGTGAGGGTTTTAGTACCGCACCACACGTTGAATCAAATCTAAAAATCATATTCATATATATGATTTTTATGTTTTTGATCATAGAAAGGAAGGGGAAGAGAAAGTTCCTTACACATGCATTGAATTACTAATTTTATATTAAGAGGGGATCAATCAATACTTGTAATGAGTATGTAATACTTTATGAGTCGTTTTCCACAAAATAAATGGAACTGAAATTAACATTTGCATTATTCTTCAGAAAATAATGTAGAGATAACGGACTACGTTATTAGCGAATAAACATCGTAATTTTGAGAGAGTTACGGTTATTTCGTAGAAATTGAGAGGAGAGTACCATCGATACATTGAATTATCTACTTTAGAAGGTAGATCGTTGAAGTACGCTCCCTCTAACGCGCGATGTTTAGTCCCTTCAAAGTAATGCTCGGAAATTAAATTCCGATTGAAAATTTATGTTAGGAATGAAAATTGTGATGAATGGGAATTTGGGGGCCTCTTCGGCTATGTCCGGCTGCGGAAACTCTAGGGGTGCACTGTTTCGTTAGACAATATGTCCCTTCTCCATCCCCCGTAGTATCCAGAAACTGGATACGGTTCGTTGATATTTTCTATAAAACATTTCAGAAAAAATAAAAATTTTAAATCAACTAGAGAGGTCGGTATAAAACAGTTCCGGTGTTCGATTGCTCTCAATAACACTGTACAAAATATTGAGAAAAATTAAAGTTCAACGATGGTATGGCGAGATTTTGACGGATGGCAAACACCAAAGAGATGTTTTTAGACTTTTTTTATATATCCATTAATTTATTTAGAACTTGTGAAATGAGAATAAGTTCTCATTTTCTCCTTGAAAAAATGTAATGATATGATGTAAATAAAATTGGAATTTTACTCTTGCTCTTATCGAGAATGGAAAAACAATTGAAGATGATGAAAAACAGCAGTCATTATGAAGCAACTTTGCTTAGCTGTAAAATATTCAAGGTTGTCGTCGTGTGAAACATTTACTCGACATTTTAAGATTTTAATCTGAGATTCTGTGTTTCGAACTTCAGATATCCATTTTTGAAATTTGTGTAATTTCTCACGGATTTCAATAGGTCGATATTTTTTCAGCTAATAATTGTTGGGAGTAACAACTACATCATTGAATATAGCCAGGAAAAATTTAATTGATTGGCCGTTTCGTTTTGGAGGACTACTTATGGATTAGATATTATAATTAATGTATTATAAGTTGATAAATTTACATATTTACAAATAATTAGAGTGGAAAATATGTAATACTATTTTAGCTGTCTTTACACAATGGAATCAATGGAATTAATTTTTACGATGCAGACTATTCTACATCTCTTCCCAGCAAAATTTAAATAAGTAAAAATCGACCGATTACGATGTTTACACGTGGAAGCAGAAGAACCGCTATTGTTGCTGACATTATTAACAAACAATGCGCACAACGCGTGCAGTTTGAAAATTCGACATTATGACAATGACCGATTGAGAAATGGTGAATATAGGCCGGCTGCATCTGTTTGCCACTTTTCAACATATTGTGTTGGTACGTGTTTTTTTAAGTTAGTCGACTAAATTACTGATTTCTCATATCGTTCTTTTTTATGCTAAACTTTTAGAGTATTTACCTGGACCGGGACATCTGGAATCTATCTTGGTTTAAGAATAATCGGGCGAGACAGAAGGATTAAGTATCTATCTGCACAACTTAACCTATGAGCCAGGGATTTAATCTGATGTATTCGCTGTAACTTTAACAATTTTTTCTGGTATTACTCTGGTCACAGGCTAGACGAAATTTTGCACATCATTATTTAATAAATTCATCAATGTATGAAAAAAAAAGTTTATAACATTCACTGCATTTTCTAAATTTTCTCTACCTCGCCCGATTTCAGTTAATAAACGATTTATATTATTATTTCTATATCACAAAAAAAAAATTCATTGTTGACTGTTGCTTTTTCTCTCCGTACACTTATCACCAAGTTTGAAAAAATCAGTTGATCTGTCTTCTGTAGGCATAGAGTAAGGCTACGTAGACGTTTGAACAACATCCCGAGTGGAAATTAATTCAGGTCTACTTGAAGTCCGATCAGAACTTGATTCAGTTTCAGTGCGGTTCGCTTGATCAGGTAAGATCTGATCAGAACCTGACCAAGGTTTTTTTTTTTTTTTTTTAATATTCCGGCCCTTTTTGCCCTGTTCTGGCTAATTGGCCCTATCTCACCCTATGCATGCGGCTGTGGATCCTACACTGTACCGTATTCACTCTCCTATGGGACATAGGAGTGACATGGGAAACCACAGAAAAAACCATGTCGGTACAGACGGTTGCTCTATTAGTAACCTCCCGCTCATCGGTGCCTGTTGAAAAATTCGATTCAACGGGGAATCGAACTCACAACTTTCAAAACACTAGGCTCGCACCTAGCCACTTTTTTTTTTTTTTTAGAATTTCTTTATTTTAATCCTTAGTATTACAGTAATTATAAGCTTTAAATTAACTCCTTGTAAAAAACATAGCTTTAGTGTAACATAGAGTGGTGACAAAGGTGGTTTGTTGAGGACATCTCGTTCATCATCATTATGTGCCGACTGCGGGCTAAAGGTGTGGGAGTTATCTTTGGTTGGGTGGATAGGAATCGATGAGACGGTATTTCGCATGAGCGTGGGGCGTGGGGAAAAATTTGGCCCGTGTGGCACGAAAAAAAACCACGAGACTTGAGTGGGACTTAAGAGCTAGAGTAAACCTACTATGTACAATTATATACATGTGACGATTGAGGCTGCCGGGAGCAGCCATTCGTCTGTCATTCTTGGGTTAAGGCCTGGTGCAGTGGCGTTGGGGGACTGCAGCTTTTTTGGGGTGGTTGCTCAGCCTGACTGTTAGCTCGGGGATGTGTTTGGCGTTTTCGTCGAGCCATTTGTATGATTGGTTGAGGCGGTGATTGTCCAGCAAGTCACGGCGCGGAATTGCTGTGGAAAATTGTATTGGGAGGTTGCCGGAGTCATGGAGCGGGATTTTTTTGTTGGATGGGTGTCTAGGGAGGTGGTAGAGTATGGGGGTATTTCTGGTGTCCTGGATGATGCCGAGCCTGTCCAGGTGCATGAAGGCTTGGGGTTGTAGGTAGCCAGATTGGGTGGCCAGGTAGGTCTCGATGGGGTCAACATGGCTAAGGTTTCTGATGATGTTATTGTTTATGTTTGTTAGTTGGGCGTAGTAATCTTTGGTGAGTTTTATTAAGAAGTTGTCGATCCTGGGGATGTCTGCTTCGTCGTAAAGGGCTTGGTTGCTGATCCTATGTTGGTATTGAGAGAGTGGTGACCTGTATTTGTAGAGAGCCGCGCGGATACATTTTCGTTCGAGGAGTCGGATTTTTTCGATGATGGAAGCGGACATGTTCCACCAAATTGGGCAGGCGTAGGTTAGGAGGGGTCTGACAAGTAGTAGGTAGGAGATTATACGGGCACGGTGCGAGATAAGTTGGTTGTGGAAGAGGCGTCTTAGCGAGAGGAACCGGGATTCTGCTTTTTTCAGCTGGGTACTGACATGGTTGGAGCAGCGGGCCAGGTGGTCAATGTGGACTCCAAGGTATCTGACTGATTGTTTGGTGGGGATTGTCACTTGTGTCCTGGTATCCGGTTTGAAGGTTGTTATGTTTAGGGTGTTGATTCCGGGTAGGTTGGATTCATTAGTTTCTTGGATTGGTCTTCTGATGAGTATGGTTTCGCATTTAAGGGGGTTCATGCGAAGGTTCCACATGGCGTAAAAGTTGTTTACTTTGTTGACAAGGGTTTGGAGAGTCGGCTGTATGCTCTTAACGTTTTTCCGTATCACATAAATGATTAGGTCGTCGGCATAGGCGATTGTGTGTGTGTTTTTGGTGGAGTTGAGGCCGAATGAGTTGAGGATGTCGCTGGTGAATATGGAAAAGAGGTATGGAGAGTTTACGGTACCTTGCTGTAGGCCTTCCAGGATCCGGAAGCTTTTGCTTGATGAGTGAGTTCCGTCCGTTGTGTAGAACGTCCTGTCGCTGATCATGTCCCATATGAGTTTGATTAGGTTGGTGGGGAATTTTTTCTTGATGAGGGTGTATATAAGCCCGTCATGCCAGACGGAGTCGAAGGCTTTTTCGAGGTCGATGAGTGTAGCACCAACCATGTAGTTAAGGTGGAGAGATTTATTGACGTCGGCGAGGAATTTGTGAACGGCGTGGGTGGTGGAGTGGTGGTGGCGAAATCCGAACTGGTTGTCTGGGATTATTTTATTCTGGTTGGAGTGCAGAGTGATTAGGTTGTTGATGATAATTTCATAAACCTTGCTGAGGTTGGGTGTGAGGCTGATGGGGCGATAGCTGGAGGGGTCTTCGCTGGGTTTCTCCTTCTTCAAAATTGGTATCACCTGTGCTACTTTCCAGATCTTGGGGAAGTAGTTGATATTAAGTGCGTTGTTGATCAGGATTGTGAGGTCTTTGATGATGTTGAGCGGGAGATGCCGGATTATGATAGTTGGGATTTTGTCGGTACCACTGGATGTCTTGTTTGGGAGCCTCTTGATTATTGCCTCTATTTTTGCTGGTGTGGTGAAGTAGCTTTCGATGTTGTCAGTCTTGGGGTTATTTGCTCGGTTAGTGTCATTGAACGTGGTAATCCAGCTGTTGTTGGCTTTGTGTTCTTCTATGGAGCGTTTGAAGAGTGAGATTCTTGCGTCTATAATTTCTTTGAGGCGAGTGCCGTTGTTGAGGTGTCGTGGCGAGTTGATGGATTCGTAGAAGGCGCCTATTGCGTTTAGTTTGCTAGTAGGTTCGGTGAAGACATATTTATTGTTGCAGAGGGGGGTGTGATCAAGAGGGTTACCAGAGTTGTGTAAGATGGAGATGTTAGTAGCGGGGATATGAATATCTGCTGGTCCAGGTTTGTTTTTTGGGCGGAATATTCTATTAATTGATGGCATGAATTTCGATGAGTCCCTGTGGTTGATTTTTTTGAAGGTGTTATTCCAGTGTTTTTCGATGGCTGCGGAGAATTCGATGTTGAGGTCCTCTCGGGTTTGTGCAAGGAGAAGTTTGGTCGTTCTAGTGTCTGGGTTTCTGCTCCGGGGATCCTTGGCTAACAATCGGTGTAGGAGAGTGAGAAGGGAGGATTTTTTCTTCTCTAGTTGTTTGATTCGCTTGGTGATGTATTTTTGGGTGTTGCTGGTGGTAGTGGATTTGGGGACCTTGTTTTCTATTGCCTGTATGATGCTTTTGTTGATGTCGAGCAGGAAGTTATCGATCTCGTTTTCCTCGAGGTTTCGGTTGCTGGGTACGTTGGAGTTGTAGGTGCGGCCTAGGAAGGAAGTGAACTCGGTCCAGTTTGTTGCTTTGAATATGTGCCTGGGTTGGGGAGGTGTTCCTGGGAGTAGAGAGGATGATTGATCGAGCTGGATATTGATTAGAAGTGCCTTGTGGTCGCTGTCGTAGATGGTGGTGGCTAGTCTGTTGTTCATCAGGTTGGTGATGTTGAGCCGGGAGTCGATAATGCAGTGATCCAGGTAGGTTTGAGCTGGGGTGTATGTGGGTGTGCTGGCAGCGAGGAGAGTGCAGTTATAGAGGGGTGCATTCGTGGTGTACCAGTCAATTAGTGAAGCCCCATGGACCTTGTTCGAGGAGTCTCCTAAGGAGGTGTGTCTCGCATTGAAATCGCCTGCCAAGATGAAAAAGTTTTTGGAGCGGTCCAGCCTGAGTTCAGAGAATATTTGGTTGAGTTCGTTGGTAAAATCCTGTCTGTTCCGGGAACGTTGGGAGGCATATAAGCTGATGACGTATAAATGTTTATCTTCAGCCATTTTGAGTTTGATGATGGTGTACTCTATGATGGTGTTGGAAGCTGGGCTAGGGTATGTGATTACGGAGTGTGAGATGGTGTTTCTGACAAGGATTGCGGTACCTCCGCCTTGCACTGCGTTAGGTCTATCTGTGCGGTAGAGGGTGTATTCAGGAAAAGCTGTTTTATGCCTGGGGTTCAGTTTGGTCTCGGAGATGAGGACTGCGTCAAGGTGATGGCTTTTTGCGAAGTTAGAGAGGTAGTTCCTTCTTTGGTGGGATATCAGGGAGTTCACGTTTATTGCGGCTATTTTGAGGTAGGTTTGTTGCTGTGGTTCCATTGGCATGGGGGGTAAGGGATCAGCTGTGGTACTGGGGTGATTATCCATTATTGAGCCTGGGTTTCAAAGCCTCCGAGTTCGGCGATGGCTTGTATTTTAGATGTGTTTATGGCTACTAGAGTGGCTAGTTCCGCAATTTTGCTGAATATCAGGCTGATGTCAGTTTTCAGGCTTTCTAGCCAGCTTGGGTTCTGGGTAGGTTGGTTCTCTGGGTGTTGGAGGGTTGGGGTCTTGTGGTTGTGTTGTTGGACGTTGCGGAGGGGTTCCTGAGCTGCCGGGGGGGGAGTGCTCGAAGATGCTCGGGCGTAAGACAGCTGCGGGGTGACGAGCTTGCTGGCTCTGGTAAGTTTGTTTTGGGTTCTTTCTTGGGTGGTCTGGAGGTTTTGCTTCAGCAGGGATAAGGCGCTCTTGTAATAGAGGCATCCTCTGTATGACGCCGGGTGTCCGTTCTGGCCGCAGTTGGCGCATTTTAGCTCAAGCCTGTTAGAGTTGTTGGCGATGGGGCATTTACCTGGATCGTGTGATTCGCTGCATTTTACGCACCTGAAAAGGAGGTTGCAATTTGTGCTGGCATGCCCGAAGCGTTGGCACTTTTTGCATTGGAATATGGTTTTTTTGCGGAGGTGTTCCCATCGAACGCGTTGGTAAGCCAGAGTTCTGACTTTGGTGAGTTCTGAGACGAAGCTGTCGTGCGTTATTTGGACAAGGTGGTGGTGGTAAGGTTTGGGCCTGCTGAATGAAATTTTTGTGATTTTGATTATGTTGAGGTTTTTTAGGTTTAATTCATTAATTTCTGTTAGGATTTCCTCATCGCTGAAGTCACCATTGATGCCTTTGAGAATCATAGATTTGGGACGTAGGGCTTTGGGAGTGTACGTGTAGAATTGAAGGTTCTTTCCTTTGAGGCAGTTGATAATGGTTCCGAAGGCGTCCATCTGTGATGTAGAAATGGTGATTGTGTTAGTTTCACTATCTTGTCTTACGTGGAAGGAGTGGTTGGGCAGCGCGAGGGCTTTGAGGATGGCGATTGTGACGTTGATCGTGGTGTTTTGGAGATGGATGGGGGGTGGCTTGATTTTTTTAGTTGGTGTATTGTGGGAGTCTTGACGGCTGTGTTGCGGTTGTCCAGGGTTTGTGGCGTCGGAGTGTTCCATTTCCTCCGAGTCGCTGAGGGCGCCGAAGCAGTTTGTGCTTTCTATGTAGTCGTTTCCGATCGGGTCGGTGCCCTTGGGTTTGATTGGATTCTTGGGGTAGGTCCAGTCGTTCTCGTTGCTCTGGCTGCCGTGGGCAACCGGGTCATCGTAGAGTGAGTGTGCTAGCTGAGCTCTGGCGTTATTGAGGTTAGGGGCGACGTTGGTTTGGGTGGGCCTGCCGTATTCTTGTTTTAGTTTTTGGTATTGCCTATCAATGGCTTGGCTGGTGATGCTGGTGTGTCTGGGTTTCGGGTTCTTTAGAGCCTTTTGGGTGGGATCGGTCTGTTGATCCATCTTTCTTTTTACGGATGTGGCGTTTCGTTCCTGTTGGGTGCCTGGGAGAGTTGGCATTTTGCCTCGAGTTATCGTCCCTGAGAACGCTGAGGGGGCGATTCTCGTCTTGGGGGATGAATTGCTGTTGGGGGAATGTATGGTGAGCAAAATACGTTATGGGGGAATAGGATAAAGCAATGACGGGTTAGTATGGGTTAGTTGGTCGCGTTTGGAAAAGAGGTTAGGGTTTGAACGTGACCATGCGATACCGCTGCTTGCGCGAGACTGCCGCACCTAGCCACTGAGCTACCGACGTCGGTCCTGACCAAGGTTTGATCCAACGTTTCGGATCCTAAAAACTACTAGCAAATTTAGATCAAGTTCTGATCAGACAGGCCTGATCAGATGACACCTGATGAAAACTTGATCAAGTTTCGAGCCAGTATATTGGACCCTATAAATTACAAATGGCTTTACATCAAGCTCTGGTCAAACATGCCTGATCAGATGACACTTGATGAAGTCCTGACCAAGTTTTGACCCAGCGAGTCAGATAAACATGATCTCACTCTGAGATCAAGCTGCCTCAACACAATTTGTTCTCCTTCCGATTCAATTCACTTGATTTTCAATTGAATAGCTCGATAAAAGAGAATCACAAACCCTGGCGTACCACTCGATAGGGTGAAATCGACTCAGTGCACAACTCGATTCACTCTATCGAGGGCCTATCGAGTGGATCTCGAATGGCCCGCCAGGGAAGTTCAGATCCGATTCATCTGATATTCATTTGATCTACCCTTCTCTGAGAATCCTCTTTTTTCTAGCAATTGTTAATCTATTGACGAAACATCTTTATTTAAAAGTATAGGAAGCAAGGGAAATATATATAGTGAAGTATCAAACATAAGAGCGCATTATCTTGAGTCTAAAAAAATCATCAAACTTGCATCTGTTCATTGTGTTATGATTATTATAATTATCTTTTAATAATGAAATCAAATTTGAACCGGATATGTTTTCTGACTCAGAATGTACATGCAATAATTTCAAAGTCATCAAATACTCCCTTGCAGATTGTGTAGGTAAAAAGAATCTACTCAAAAACAATAGTGCGGTAGTCCAGTGGTTAGGGCGTAGGTTCCTCGGTTCGATCCCCAGCATCGTCAAAAATAATAGGGTTTTTCCATCGCCAATTACAATCAAGCTTCATTAAGAGCGGTCAGATATAATAAAAAAAATTAATTATCTTTTGTTTTAAGTGTGTTATGGTTAATATTTATTATTGTTTTCGATATTCCAGTCATCCGATTTAGATACATTTGACTTGATCAAATCCGCAACTGTTAAACCGGATCAGAAAAGTCTGATCAAGTCTTGATTTAAATTTGCGTTACATGTCTGATCAAAATTTGATCCAGTTACCGTGTCACTTCCGGATCAATCATCAAGTATGACCTGATCCAGTCTTGACTAGAACTTGACCAAAATTTCCACTCGGGATGATGATGGCCTGCAAGCTGTCCATCACCTCACATACTAAATAATAGTTTTAACTCATTCAAGACAAGAGAAAAAATGATGAATTATATCCGAATACACGATATAACGTCTAGAAAATGAGATTGATTTACTCGCGGCGATTTTACGAGGTTTAGACCATGAGAGCTGTAACGTAAGTCTCTTGCGACAACGGCAATACTCAGGGGGGAATTGCCAAGCTATGACAATAGGGCCAAGCTTGGTCCAGTTTTAGCGTACCCAGGCTTGGTACACCTACCTGGGTCCTGGCTTATTCCAGTGGACAGCGCGGTCTACCACCGAGCCTTGCGTCCAAGTTCCCGAATTCCAGGATTGGACCCGTCGCGACAAGATAAGGTTATCCAAGACTTGGTATTACCAGACTTGGACCCTGCTCTATCCGATACCATTCGCAGGGAGTGCTACGTGGACTCCCAGACGATGACATTTCACAATTTACTTCATGTCTGTGATGATGCTGCACATCTCGAAACCTCTCTCTATGATTATTCGGTGTTCTGGGGAGAGAATTATATAGGGCAATTGAAAAAATAGGTCATTTTCACGTAGAAAAATGGTTAAGTGTCTGCGACTTCGTATCACTTACTCATGTTAAATATAAATGCATCGCAATAGTGGAGAAGAAAGAATACGTAGTTTCATTGCTTCACACTAAACTGGAGTAAGGACTTCACCTCTCCATTTGTACCATTATCTGATTTCAGAGCTGAGAATAATATACCGTAAAAAAAGGAATAATATCTTCATTCAGTGGCACTTCCCATAACTTTATGCGCAAGAGCGCAACTAACAATGATTTTCTCAAACAAATAATTCGGGTTTACTTAGTTTCACAATAGTTTTTTTTACATGCTATGAGCCATGACGCTGATATATTTTTCAGTTTGTAGTGAGGTAAGTTATCTATTCACACACTGAATGTACTATAAAAGACGATGTGAATCAGTCGTCAAGAAATGAAACTACCTGAATGGGCCCAACGAAGCTGTCCATGGATGGAAGGGGTACAGTTGCGCCGGCGGGGAAATAAGGAGGGGTAATACATGTTGCCAGTTACGGCCGGTACTGCAACAAGGACGTTTCTGCTCTTTCTCGCTTTAGTTTTTTTATTATTCATATTAAACAATTATCCACCTTAACCGTTTGCAAAGTAAGAGTCGAAATTTAATGTAGGGCCCCTTTAGTTGTGGGAAATCGGGATGAAAGTGATTGAGGCGTCAGTGAAGTTTTTCAGCGGCCATTTGAGTATTTTGCCGAGGACCAACTCCACGTTTCTGTTCGTATCTACATTTATTTAATAAGAAAATCTAGTTCGTTTTGCAATCACGCTTGTCTAAAATTGAACATTCATTGATAAATAATAATGATAAATAATGTAAAAATCATGAATATATGGAAATTATGTAGCTTAGACAAAAAATATGTAAAACTCCTAAGTTAATGCCAGTGATTTTTCTTTTTTTCTAGTTAACATAAGTGATCAAGGGATAAATCAATGCCATTATTATCTAATCTGGTTTAAGAATGAATTTAATGAAACCGGAAAATAGTTAATTGAAATTGTTCCTGCGTCATGGATTATACAGGAGAGCAACGATGAGGACATGGCTGAGTGTTGCTATCCCTCAAAAGAAGAATACCCGAACTTTGAAAAATGGTTGAAAGATGAGACTC